TTTCAAAAGGCACACCTTTGTACCTAAACAGTCCATATTGGTACCTTAAAGGTACATATTAGTACCTAAAGTGTACATATTAGTACCTAAAAGGTACAAAAGTGTACCTTTTGAAAAGGTACTGCCCCAGTGACAGCTTTTGTACCTTTTTTTCTGAGAGTATAAGATTGCAAGTTTAAATCACAATTCTGACTTTATAACAATTGTAAGTAATGATGATAATAATAATTTGAAGAAAATGTCAGAATTGTGACTGACTTTTTTCCTCTTTAATTCCGAATTATTAATTCTGAGAAGGAAGAAAAAAGCCAGAATTGCAGAATAAAAAGTCACAATTACCTTTTTTAATTATTTTTTTATCCCGTGGCAGAAACATACAACCGCATTTCAGTGCCATGATTATGAGATTAAAGTCATAATATTTTGAGAATAAAGTAAAAATGATGAGAATAAAGTCATAGCATTATGAGATTAAAATCGTAATATTTTGAGAATAAAGTTGTAATATTTTGAGAATGAAATCAATGCATTATGAGATTCAAGTCATAGTATTTTAAGAATAAAGTTGAAGGATTTTGAGAATAAGGTCAAAATTGCGAGAATAAAGTAATACAAGATTTAAGTCATAATATGTTGAGAATAAAGCTGTAATGTTTTGAGAATAAATTATATTGCATAAATAAAGATAATTAATGTGAAAATTACACCTACTCTTCAAAAAAAAAAAAGCATTTTTTCATTCTTTCAGAAACTTTCATTCTTCACAGGTATTTAACATTAAAAACAGTAATAAAAATGTTCTAAAGGTTGAAGTTTCATAGATAAGTGATTTTATTAATAAACATATTTGTGACCCTGGACCACAAAACCAGTCATAAGGGTCAATTTTTCGAAATTGAGATTCATACATCACCTGAAAGCTGAATAAATAAGCTTTTCATTGATGTATGGTTTGTTAGGATCGGACAATATTTCGCCGAGATACAACTATTTGAAAATCTGGAATCTGAGGGTGCAAAAAAA